TGGAGTCTTGCTCTCTTATCCAGGCTGGAGTGCAGTGGCTTGATCTCGGCTCACTGCAATCTTCATCTCCTGGGTTCAAGGGATTCTCATGTCTCAGCCTCCTGAGTAGCTGGGATAACAGGTGCCCACCACCATGCCTGGCTAATTTTTGTATTTTTAGCGGAGACGGGGTTTCGCCACGTTGGCCAGGCTGTTCTCGAACTCCTGACAAGTGATCTGCCCACCTTGGCCTCCCAAAGTGCTGGGATTAAAGGCATGAGCCACGGTGCCCAGCCCACATCTCTCTCTCTTGAGTTTCACACATGACCATCCAACTATCTAGTCATCATCTCCACTTGAATATATGATGGGCATCTTAAACTTAACATACTAAAATTGAACTGCCAATCATTCCCTTCCAATAGATGGCTGTATTGGTAGTTTTTCTCATGTTGCATAGAGACACTCCTATGCTTCTGGTTGCTCAAGACAAAAGCCAATGAGTTATCCTTCATCCCTCTTTTAAATGTATGCCCCATGGCCAATAATCCATCAAGAACTCCTGTTAGTCCTATGTTCCAAATATCTCCATAACCTGGCCCTTCTCACCTTCACTGCCGTGCCGTGCCCCTTCCTCTCTTGCCTTGAAAACTGCAGGAGCCTTCTAGCTGCACTGCCTGCCTCCACCCTTGACCTTGCTTCTCTTCTCAACACAACTGCTAAGAGCTTAGTGCTATTCTTAAAATACATGTCAGGTCACAGCTTTCTTCTGCTCAAAACACAGCAGTGACTAGTGTCACTCAGAGAAACTGCTGCTGTCCTCACAGTGGAGTAAGCCTCATTGTGGACCCAAAAGGAGACTTCCTGATCTCCCCTTCTTCACCCCATTCCTCACTCTGCTCCAGCCCCACTACCCACCTTGCTCATCTGGGAACTAACCATCTGGACTCCTGCCATACAAGCATTCATAGTGGCTCTTCCTTCTACCCGGAATGCTCTTCTCCAAAATCTCAGCATCGCCCACACCCTTACCTTCGCTGAGCCTTTGCTCACGTGTCGCCTCCTAAGAGAGGTCTTTCCTGGTTGGGAGGTACTCCTGGATCTGGAGGTGGATCTCCTTCTCCTGAGTCATATGGGAAAGGTACAGCAGATGGGATTTTCTTAGGAAGAAGTCATCCTTCTTCCCACCCATCCTCTGCAGCCAACCCACCCATCCTCTGCGGCATGCT